TGTCTCTTATTACATAAGGGAAACATCAGTGAACCAGTTATTATGAAGTTATTTCAAGACAGTCAGGGAGAGTTTGTTAGCCCCCCTCCTCTGCCATCCCCCCCACCCCACACACACTGAAGAGGCAATATCTTTTTTCTCCATCATTAATATTTTTTTTATAATTTGCAATTAACTTGGACATAAAGATTCATAGAAAAACGTTATCCCTGATTTTTCTTCACTAAATATCAACTGATATAAAATCCTTAAAGTCAATGTTAACAAAATTTGAAAATGTGTATATTAAAGGGTTAAAATATCAAATTTAGAAATGAAAAATAAACAACTACTATTATTACATGATAGTAGCAGTTATTTCATGAAAATCTGGGAAAGAGTTTGCTCAGACTATTCATTACTTTTCGTTTTACCCCCCAGGGGTGGGAGTAAAACATAAATTTTGGGACAAAAAGTGACTGAGAAACTTGCTCGGGTGGACGTTTAATTTAAAATCAAAACATTCATGAAATGTTAGTGGCTTAATTTCTCTTCACTGATTCTAACAATGAAAGATGAAGATCCTGGACTAGCCCCCTCCATCTTGCTTCTAAGCTGAATGCGAAAATATTTTTTTCTCACTTATTAATGATCTTTATAATTTGAAATTCATTGAACTTAAAGAGTGATATAAGAACTCTCTTCCTGAATGTTTTCATCAATAAATATGAAAAGCTCTTAGAATTATGACAAAATATCTTCAAAATCCATGTTACCAACATTGAGACATCACTGGACATTAAATGATTAAAATATTGATTTTGTAAGGAAATATTAATAAAAAACATTGAAAACAATTTATCGCTAGATCTGCTGATTGTATAAACTTATTTAATGGTGGCATATGAAGAACTGTCCTCAAAATATTTTTTTGCTTTGCCCCCCTGCTATCCCCCGGGGTTGGGGGTAAAACATAATTTTTTGGGACAAAAAGTGACCCATGAACTTGCTCGGGTGGATGTTTTCAATTCAAACAACCAATATATTCATAAATTCACAATGGTTTAATTTCTGCAGAGATTCGAACAAAAAATAACGAAGAGCCTAGACTACAAGCTGCAAATACGGAAAAAACATCGTGCCTTCACACTTTTCTTTAATAAAAGAGGCCATTAGCCATGGGTTGAGGATTGGAGAAGACGTAATTGTGACGCCAGTCGACATCCGGAAAGCTTTTGACAGTGTGTGGCACGCAGGTCTATTGTACAAAATTAATGCTAGAATTAATGGGAAACTCTGGAGGATCTTACGTTTAAGTTATATGGATTATACATATGATGTAGATTAGATGTTACCTTTTTTGTATTTACCTGGGTGTCTACCAAGGTGGTATTGGTACTGTAGATTATAATAACTAATTGCATTGTTTTACAGAGTCTCCCTGCAATACTGGTTTTTCCATTCCCTGGAACGGTGGTTACCAGTGTATTTGTCCTCCCAACAAACAAGGCAAAAACTGTAGTGAAGGTAAGCAATTTGAAAGAGTAGAAAACCCCAATATTTTCATATTTAAATACCGGTATTTTTATTTCCTGGAACGATGGTTACCAGTGCAAATCGTCCGCCCAACAAACAAGGCAAGAATTGCAGTGAAGGTGTGTACTTTATGAGGTAGTGAACCTAACTATTGTTTCCATGGTAATTTTATCGACTGTTTTTTTTCACACATCTTTGGGTTTCAAAATACTTTTGAAATAAAATAAAGAAACCTACTTGATATTAGGCTGCCAGTTTGAATTAAAAGTAATATTTTATTTTTTGTCCAACTTGGGGAGCAGTTTTGTATTTCCCTTTTGAGGATTTTTATTCTCTTAATTTCTGAAAAGGCTGTCTTGAGTCTTCAAGTATTTTATGCAGTTTTGAATGTTTTACAAAATTTTAAAACAAACCTTTTAAACAAATCTTTTAATGTTTCTATAATAAATACAACTTATCTTCAGATGTTCCCGATGCTGGTAATTGTACCTGGCCTGGGAATGGTAAGTCGTGTAAAGCATAATTAACCATTATTTAATTGTAGTAAAATGTGTCTGAAATATCACCTGTATGATACCTACATTTGCTTGTGTTTCTTCCTATTTAAAATCAGCAAATCAGACATGACGTATAGCTTATGTTGTGAACATATTGTAGCACTACTTAGAGCTTGCGACTATCATAAAATTTTGTTTTAAAAATGATATTATTTCTGACTCCTCTATACAGATCTCCTAAAATCCCCTACATCCAAAAAGTGGAGAACAACATGTTATATGATAATGATTAAGAATATTTTGATGTCACCACCAGGGAATGCTAATTTTTGAAATTTAAGCTTTCCTCTGTTTACACGGCGTTTATAGCTACTCCATCGAATTGTGAGGAATTGTAAAGTGCGGCTTGCTCAGCGTAAGTTGCACTTATATTAATTCTGTTTGTAGAAAACGCATGTTCCTCAGCACCCTGCCATGGGGAGGATGCTATGTGCATCAACACTTTTGGCGGGAATTATAAATGCTTATGCCCACCCGGGACAAACGGCGACCGTTGTGGTGAAGGTATGGAAAAACCGAATTCTTGAAGTGAAATCATGTCTACACTGTATACAGGGCGATACAAAAATGCCACCAACATAATGTTGCATAACTTTTTTTTGTCTTCGTGATATGCCATCCATCTTTTGTAACATTTTAATACTAATTCTTTTGGCTAAGGAAGTCCATTGAATTAAACAAAAGATGATATTGTCATTAATAAAATCTTTAAAGTAGTCCACTAGCATAGCTCAGGGATAACGCGTGTATTTATTAACCAATAGGTCCCGGATTTGATCCCCGATTCAGGCAACACTTAATTTGTTTGCGTAAAGTACTTCAGGGTGTTTGACTGAGTGGTCCACAAATCTTACAAAAAGCCATGGTCTTTACTTCTATGACTGTGTATGAGTTCAAATAAAAGAACACAAGGGTATTTTAAGGAGGCGTTCTTGGGTCTGCCTTTCAGGCTTTATGATACCCTGCGTGCAGAGTCTAGTTAAACTACAAGACGAAGCTCTCTTTTAAGAAGTGAAGTCAAACGAATGCAAAGGGTAGCTTTATGACAGTAGCAGAATTTGAAAATATCAATTATCGTAAATTTGCCCAAACACGGGATATACCAAAGAGGTATTGATCACCCACATAGATTGTAAACAAAATGCAATGCAAAATAAAAAACAGCAACAATCAGACAATAACTTGTTTGCAAAATCATGTTGCAAAAGGCTGGAGGCATTTTTGTTTAGAATCTAGTGTGCCTGCAGGAGAATAGACGACACATCTTATAACTCTCATACAGGTGCATCTAGTTGAGCTAGTAGCTCTGAAACTGAAATAATTTCAATATTCTGAAGTTCAACTCAACAATCCATGCAGACAAAAAAGTTATGCAACATTATGTGGGTGGCCTTTTTGTGTCATGCTGCACTAGTTACATTCACGTTCAAATTACAAGCGTTGGAATTGAATAATGTTGAAGGATTTCAGATATTTTAATGTGTTGTGAAAAGCGTTTAATTTCTATATCAATGAAAATCTATTAACAGAGCCTGATCATATATTCATTTTTCAAATAAACCGAGGGCTGACCAAAAACAGTATTGAAATTGGCGATGAGTGACTAAAATGTTTTCGTTTATGCAAGAGGAGACTTCAAACTTCCTTATTGATTTTGTTATTTCATCACTAGGAACGTACTGCTTTCCATGTGCAAGTAAAAGATGGAGGAACGTCACATGTCCTGTGTTCAACGACAAGCCATTCTTGACATCGATGTCTGTGCAAGAAGTAACACTCAATACCCAGATATCAAGGTAGGGTCAGTTTATCTTGTTTCTTTATTTTCATATCTTTAAATTACAATAGTAATGGAGATAACAGAAAGTCATAAAAAGTTTAGTTTTCTGATTTTCGTTTTAATGATTACATCACACCTCCATGGCCGACCCGTTTAATATTTCCTTACTTCTTGTCAAATGTGATATAATTTCGTAAATTCAGCATAAGAGTTATAAAACACGATTTTTCGTTGCTCAACTTATTCCAGACTCCCGTTACCAACAACCATAACCTTATAATTTTGAGACAATATCTCAATAGTAATTTCATCTCACAATAGGATGAATCTCTTGATATCAGAGCATATTAATTTACCCTTAAGATTACCTGTATGTTACAGTAAAAGACAAATTGAGCTTAAAATTTAAAACTATATCTGCACAAACTAATACCATAGGTTTATTTTTTGGACAACCTGTATATTTCAGGACACGATGTACGATGAACGACAAGTGGAGATTCGATTATAGTACAGGGACCATGTGGGTAGCCAAAGGTTGTAGGGGCGAGTTTTGTGTGCATTTCAAAGAAGCTGAACCAAGTACAATAACTGCATCAGACACAACAACTGGACCAGGTACAACAACTGGACCAAGTACAACAACTGGACAAGGTACAACAACTGGACCAAGTACAACAACTGGACCAGGTACAACAACTGGACCAGGTACAACAACTGGACAAGGTACAACAACTGGACCAAGTACAACAACTGTGCAAGGTACAACAACTGGACCAGGTACAACAACAGGACAAGGTACAACAACTGGACCAAGTACAGCAACTGGACAAGGTACAACAACTGGACAAGGTACAACAGCTGGACCAAGTACAACAACTGGACAAGGTACAACAACTGGACAAGGTACAACAACTGGACAAGGAACAACAACTGGACCAAGTACAACAGCTGGACAAGGTACAACAAGTGGACCAAGTACAACAACTGGACACGGTACAACAAGTGGACCAAGTACAACAACTGGACAAGGTACAACAACTGGACCAACTACTACAACAACTGCTGGCAGTGTCCCATGTGAAAGTCTCAAATTGTCTGGGTTGTCACGGTCCTCCAATCAACTATATCGAACTGGGATCTTCAAGCTGCAATCGAATTTTTGGAACGAACGACCAGTTTACAAACACCTATGGGATCTAGAGTTTTTGTTCTATGAAGATGGAGCCTGGCTTATAGGATCAACAATAGGAGAAACTCAATCAGGAATTCGTGTAATCAGTTCAGCTCTGGAACCACAAGACGTGATGGAAGTTTGGGATTCTTGGGATGGTAGCGCTTGGGTAGCTGAGCCAAGTCTGATTGCATCGTGTTCAGCTATATGTGACACGATTTGGTTGAGTGGTGTTTCATGGAATGGACCACACGCCTACCTATTAGGAGCTTATAGTATTTCAAATAATGATTCAAATGGAGCACCGATCTACAAGAAACAAGATGGCGCAAACAGTAGTGAAATAACAATTAGAATGTCTGATGGCAACAAATGGAGCATTAAAACAGAGAATGAGACATTAACCACAGAGTTTACAACAGCCATCACAAACCCAGTTGAAATAAATAACACATGGACTGTGTCATCTGGTACAATAGTCCTGGATTGCTACTTTGGTAAGTACAAGGAAATTGTAAGAAACAATATAAAAAAGTGTGGGCATATTCTTACTCGATTGTTTCAACCATATACAATGCGCAACTATAACAATTATTCCATTAGAATATATTTCAATTTGTGGAATAAAATACTTATTGAATTTGAAAACAGGGAAAATATCAATGGAGGTAATAAAGAATCGTCATTGTTCAGTTCATTGATAAGACTGATTTCTTTCTTCTCTGTAGGTCAAGAAGGAATTGGTAGTGAGGTTCTGTTAGATGGTAGTTCTATTCAAAGGAAAAGACAGGGTATCTTTTCACTTTATGGCCCTCTTCTCAATGGAAGGCCTGTCTATATTCACGAACGTGGAGACACCTTCCTTGATTACATAATCATGGACAAGCAAAGAAGGTTCTGGCTCGTTTCTGACAATATTAACTCCAGTTCTGGAGGGATTCGTGTTTATGACTCAGCGTTGTCGGCAGATGGCATAACTCGGACATGGGAAACATATGACTCACAAGATGGCTGGGTGAAAGAAACTAAAATGGGAGCAGCATGTATTACAAGTATGTAGTTTCTGATCTACTTCTGCGAAGATCTAATCAGTTTAGAGATACTTATTCTCTATCTGAAATCTAATTGGTCAGATCATGATCATTATTGCATCAACTATAACCAATTAACAAGAACATTATTTAGTCTTACGTCGCAATTTCCTCGGAAGAAACAATTATAAATTCCTTTGTTGGAAGGATTCCTCCTAATTGCCCCTTCAGTATCAATCCAACTAAGTTCTAACCTAGGCATATTTTAATCAAGCTAATTTACACATTGTTTCTCTTTCTAATCTTTTTGTCTTCCTTTATGGCACACGGGCTTAAATATAGTAATTGTGTCATTACATTTTAGATAACACCGTCCCCAGCGAAACGTTATACATGGGGGGTGTGGTCACATCGTCAACTCCACAAACTCAAAGGTTAGGATTTTACACGAAACACAGAGACTATCACAATTCGAGACCAGTATATATTCACGAATCAGGCAAATATGCTCTGTACTACCTACTATCTAGAGGATATTGGGGTATTGTCAAGGCAACTGGTACGGCCAGTCTCTATATGGCGATATATTCAGCATCCCTTCTTCCTCAAGAGATAACTGTGCCACTATATGGATGGGTTTCTGGTTGGACATTGATGGATAACATCACCATGTCTAGCTATACAAACACAGGTAAACAGATATGTCACGCCCGGTGATCGTGAAAATGGGACAGAGGGGGGAAGGGGGAGCAGGCAATTTCTGCTAGAAAATTCAACAAATCTGGAAGATTTATTTTTTCAAGAAAAAGTATTACAGCATAAAATTCTGCAAATAAAACGTTTGCGGATACCTGAAGTTAGGATATATATTGTGGTAAGCAATATAAATTACTTAAATTTACATTAAGTTAAGTGACAGCAATTTCATGACCAAATTTATCAAGCTTCCTCTCAAGTTTTCCAAAAATCACGTCTTAATCGTTTGAAAAAACATGTCCGGGACAACCGTAAGTTCTCTAAATAAATAATTATTTTAAGTAAACATTTTATTGTACAAATAGTGACTGCCATTGAGGGAAATAGTGCAAAATATTTTCCTCAAGGGAATATCCTGTCCACTGACATGTTCCCGAGGCTGCAGGCCGAGGGAACAAGTCAGTGGACAGGATATTCCCAAGAGGAAAATTTTTACACTATTTCCCGAAAATGTGGCAGTCACTATTTGTTTTATTATATACCTGATAAGTACTCTGTAAACAAAACAAAATGAGAAGTCTTTTCATTTCAATATCAAATGTTCACAGGTTCTTATTGGCATTTAAATGCATTTTACCTTTCAACTCCTATAATCTCAGATTTGGGGGAAGATAAAATGTACTATTGACTGGTCACATGACCTAACTGGTGATTAGTACAATTCATCTTCCCTGAAAGCAGGGATTTAGGACTTTCCAGGGAATTAGTTCATCTATTCCATGTCATGTGACCATGAATAAGCCAATGAGCATCTAGAATACATTTGAGGTATATAATAATATAGGCTATTTTATATTTGATTTTAAAAACACACATTCATCTCATATTGGTTTTAAAACTATTAAAAGGACTTGTAGGAAATGTGGTATAAATACTGAATAGCACATCATTATGAGTTTTATCATTCACAACTGAGCGGAGCGAATGAGTGTGAATATTTGATATCTAAGAGGCGATAAAATATCACGAGAAATGATCTGATATTGGGTTTATCCCTTGATTACAATGATCAGTATTCCAGACAATTCTTGCAGTGAGCAGTTTGCACTACTTTCTCTATATCACAGTGTATATGATATACAGTTCTTCATAAATACTTATTTAATCGTTATTTAGCAGCATCCTTATCAAACTACATACACAATATTAATGTAATACATCAATGTAACTTCAACAGAATAAATTGTCTGGCCTATTTTCCATCTGTATCGTGGCGCGATTTTCAAAGGAGGAGGGAAGTTAGCGCAACAGATTTTGGACAGTCATATGTTTGATTTTGGCCATTTTCTGAGGATTTAAACAATTGCATATGTTAGGCCAATGCATTACCTCCAGGAAAATCACTTCTAGAGATGATAAAATAATTTCGACTTTGAGACTGGGAAGATGCAAACAACCCACCCACATGTTTTTTCTGAAATGTTTTCCTAATTTTCGACCCCTTCCATCCCTGCTTTTTTAATTTTTCTTGCATCAATATGTTGCATTTTGACACATAGTTAACCACTTTAAAGGAATAAGTGATTCCTTAAGGGGTTTTAAGGATACCCATTATGGGTGATCAAACTTAGCTGAAAGCAATGATTTTTCCTATGGGAAAATAACATGGGAAATATTGTTTTCCACTTTATCTAAAAGGAATCATTTATTCCTTTTAAGAGATTAACTGTGTGTCAAAATGCAACGCATTGATGCAAGAAAAATTAAAAAAGCAAGGATGGAAGGGGTTGAAAATCAGGAAAACATTTCAGAAAAACATGTGGTTGGGTTGTTTGCATCTACCTGTCTCAAAGTCGAAATTATTTTATCATCTCTAGAAGTGATTTTCCTGGAGGTAATGAATTCGCCTAACATATGCAACTGTTTAAATCCCCAGGAAATGGCCAAAATCAAACATATGACTGTCCAAAATCTGTTGCGCTAACTTCCCTCCTCCTTTGTTTATCACAGGAATATGTGTGTAATAAACTATATCAACCGCATATGAGTTTGATAAATTATTTTCTGGAAAATATCACACGGATTTCAATAATAATAGATATATGACTAGCTGTTATTGTACAGATACACGTAACACATTAACAGTGGGAAAATAAGGAATACGCCAATCAGGGTACCCATTAGTGAACAGTTTTGTGCAACATCTGATTTATCTCATTTCTATTATTTTCTTAGGTGACGAGTCTTGTCGTAAGCTCAATCTATCTGGCATGAAGCGTGATTCGTTAAATGGTCTTTATGAGAATAATGACCAAGACGTTGGGAAGAGACCGAGCTACAAACACTCTGATGGGCCTTACAACCTGTACTTTAGACAATCGCATGCGCAATGGGTTATCGGACAAGACCCTATTCAATCTTCCTTTTACGCTTATACATTTAACCCAGCTGTGGACCCAACCGATATTAATACGAATATTTGGAGGCGATGGGATGGTAGTGATTGGATAGACCAGCCTGATGTAGTGTGGAGCTGTCAGGATGGTAAAACTTATGATCATATTTATATCCTAACGCTGTAACATTCATTTAAAAAATGCCTTCTTAAATGTTTCAACAATGGTATAATAATGTACGATACATTTTCAGTAACAACTACAAGTACTACATCTATTGGACCAAGTAAAACCATTTCGTCAGTATTAAAGGAACAAAATTTTAATAAGTTCCTCCTGGTGAAGCTCCATTATTTTAAATATATTGTATTGATAGATTTATAGCCTTGCCCATGTCGGTATTTTTTTTACTTATCTGATCCTGAATTAATAGAAATCAAGAAAAGTAAAAGAGACCGACTTGGGCAAGGCTAGTAGATTTAATATCACTGAACATATTTTTGCTTGTTGAGCATCACACAACTATACCGTTTATTATTTATGTGGATTTATGCAGGGGTCATTTTTCAAAAGAATTGTTTTATATCTAAATAAGTAAAAATATTATAAATGCTTTGCATCAACATTTTGTATGATTTCAACTGAAAAGCAAGACCAAAATGGACTCCAAACTCACGGTGGATGGTATAACTCACACTATTTAATTTTTGGCATTTATTGTTAAAGTCTAACGATTTAAGTTAATCTATATTCGTTATAATTACATCGTTGATTATTTCTAAAAGATCCGTACCCATTAGTGTACCTATAAGGACTTAGAAAATTATTGAAAAGGGTAAAATGGAATTCCAGAATTATTTTTTATATAATTTCAATCTTCAAGAAGTATATTTTCAACAAATCATAAAAATAATATTTAGAATATGGTAAAAAGTTGTTTTTTACAGTGATTCTTAACACATGTCATTCTGACTCTTACAATGAGTAATTTTCACATATTTTCAGAAAACCTTGAATAAAATCTTGATTTTTGTAGATACACTTAAATTGACTTCTCTGTTTAAAACTACAATGTGTCAGAGCATACTAAGCTTCATTTAGCAGATCAGTCATGCATATATACTTTGTGATCCTATTGTTTTGAAAGGCATCCTATTGAGTTCTTGTTTTTAAGACTGAATGAACTTCTGTAGTCACTGACAGATTGAGGTGCTTCCGCAGGTCAGACCCCCTCTGATTTTACCTTTATTGTTTATTTTCAACATTATTGCATAGTTCAAACACGAAATAAGAGGGGTTCCTGACTGCGGAATATATACAATGTAAAAGTATAGCAATTTTTTAGTTTCAAAAAGGAGGCCATATTGGATCTGCCAAACATCAAGGCTACAAACTATCAGACAAGTATCAAATGGGTCAGTTTATTTTTGATTTATCAGTCATGGATGCCTCTGAGATTATATATTGCAGAGGGACTGAATCAATAGTACCCCGGACAGGTTGTATGATGCAGTCGTTTTTACTCTATATTTGCAATAGAACAACCATTCTTATTGACATTTTCAAGATTTATTCTAGAGACAATTTCCAACACGGAAAATAAATATTTTATCAAAATTTCTAATTTTATGATTTTGATGGGCTTTTTCAAAAACACTACACTGTCAATAAAATACAGGTTTTTGCTTGAGCAATTGAACTTTTAACGTCATTTTAAATATTGTCTGGCTATTGAATTTCCGGCCGCCTAAAGTCTTTCCAGATATATCTGTTTCCATAATAATAATTATGGCTGATTATTGTTGTTCACTTGAGTCATATTCAATATCATTACAGTGCATTAGGCCAATAAAAACTTGTTGCTCTGGGTCTCGTTTTATGAAGCGTTCCCTAGATTGAGCCCAGATAGAGGAGGTCAATCTTCTTGTCCACGGACATGAGTTCAACCTGGTCACTGTTCAATACTGTTCAAAAAGAAGTAAAACATTACGAATCTCCTATTTAAAGTATTCTTGGCATTAGATCCTTCAGAGATGTTAATACAGCTGTGTCAAATTTTATCATGAAATTGTCAGGGAGACCTGACATTTTAAAAGTATGGTACAATTTACGTACCACGGGCTTGCATGCTGAGTGACGGTGGCGGAAAAAACCCAGTGGAGAAAAAGGTGCGTTTTCAGAGGAAACGTGACCCAGAGTGACAAGTTTTTCATTTGCCTAATACACTGTAATAATATTAGGCCTATTGACTATGACAAAAAATGAATAACAATAATCAGCCATAATTGATATGGCATCAAATACATCTGGAAAGACTTTAGGCTATCAATAATTCAATAGCTAGACAATCTTTGAATGACGTTAAAAGTTTAATTGTCCAAGCAAAATCTGTATTTTATTGAGAGTGGAGTGTTTTTGAAAAAAGCCTTTGAAAAATAATAAAATTAGGAATTTCGTTAAAATATTTTTTTCCATGTTGGAAATTGTCTCCAGAATAAAATATAAAAATTTCAATAAGAATGGTTGTTCTATTGCAAATATAGAGTAAAAAACGACTGCATCATACAACCTGTCCGGGGTACTATCCATTTAATTATTAAAGGGACACTGTTTGTTAGGTAGTTCTTATGCTAATGAACATTAAGATATTTTTAAAAAAAGAATCAATCTACTTTTGATTCATCAATTATGCCTACCTCTGGAGATGATATGTTGAAGAGACACTGAATTAATATCCATCTAGCCATTAAAGGGACACTGCTTGTAAGGTAGTTCTCACCCAAAGAACAAATAGGTCAATCTACTTTTGATCGATCATTCATTGATGTCCTTGAAGATGATATATTGCTGGGGGACTGAATCAATATCAATTTAGCCATCAAAGGTATCCATTTAGCCATTAAAGGGACGCTGCTTGTAAAGTAGTTCTAACCTAAAGAACAAATAGGTCAATCTACCTTTGATCGATCATTCATTGATGCCCTTGAAGATGATATATTGCTGAGGGACTGAATCAATATCCATTTAGCCATTAAAGGTATCCATGTAGTCATTCAAGGGACACTGCTTGTAAGGTAGTTCTCACCCAAAAAAACTAATGGGTCAATCTATTTTTGATTCTTCATTCATGCCTACCCCTGAAGATAATATATTGCCAAGGGACTAAATCAAAATCCATGTAGCCGTTTAAAGGGACGCTGCTTGTAAGATAGTTCCCATCCCAAGTCACACTAAAATATTTTACTTCATAATGATTATGTAACTTACCTAATTGATAGATTAAAAATACCTCCCCTTGTTTGATAGCAAAACGATAGATTTTAAAAAATATATAATGATGTTTAATATGTCCTCTAAATTGAATTAAACCTACTGCATAGCAGCTGAGGTGATAATGGTACTTTTGCCATGATTAAGATTCATTGATGTTTTACCCTTTTTACCCTTTGTGTCGTACCTTGATTATATTTTGATATATCGACTGATTGAATGGTCAACATACTTAATATAGTCATGAGGGAAGACTAACATACCCTTAACATGATATTTAGAATGATTTGCATAGTCAAAACTAAATGCACTGAATGACCTTAGTTTTAATCTCAGTGACCTAATTTCGTTTTGGATGTGTTCATAATTGATAAAAGTAACTGGTTCCATGTTATATTCATTGAAACCTTTGGGGGCATCTTTAGGTACATGGGGTAGCGGATCCTTTGTTGAGCATCATACAACTTAACAGATTTTCATTAATTTGAGAACTCAGCAGGGGTTTAATTTACAAAATCATCAATTATAAATGAATAAACGCAAGGAGCACACGCGTTTCCAACTCGCAACCTCGTGGTTATGGCGCCCAGTCGATAAAAAAAACATTACAAAAATATAAAAGCATAATAAACTATTCTAGAGCAATACTAAGAAAATCCTTGGCATTACCTTGGAAGGGATGTTAAGCTTTACAAAGTTCACATCTTCTGTTCATATTTTTCTTTGTCTCCATTGATCTAACACGGGGATATCATCGTATTACAAAATATGATGATATCCTCATGTTAAGTCAATTTTATAGAAAATTCGAAATTACATACATTGGATTTATAATTCATTTATGATGATACTTGTTAGATCTTTTACCAATACTTTAAGTGTAAGAAACAATAAAATAAAATTCAGAATTGATTTTATTCACTTGTTTTCGGAGGGGTACTATTTAATTCAACTGTTTTCTGGTAGGAGGGTGCACGGGGAACAGTGATTTCTATGCACTTTCAAAGTGTTTGAGTCAATAAGAAAAAATTATAAAAAATTCCCTTTTCAGTTTTAGTGAGGGGCTGCCATAGGGAGTGCAGTCGCACCCAACACATCACCATCACCCATTTCAACAAGCCTATATATTGATGTACGCTCATACACTCAAATTATATTGCCAATACGATCATGAATCAATATATAACAAGATCATGAATCAAAATATGCGTGACAATAAGTGCAACCCTGGAGAACACCAGTGATAAAGATGATTAAAAAGCATGGATTACACATCAAATAAATCCTGAAGAACAACATAGATGTAGAATAAAGGTGAAATAATTGTGTCTTTCATTTTTTAGGAATTGAAGAAAAATACAGACGGACATATGGTCTCATTTTCAATTCAACAAATAAAGTAGATATATCATGCTAATTACCTTTCAAACAACCAATTCATTAGTAGATCATCAGTTGTAAATTAAAAAAATTATCAAGGTTAAACATTTTTAAATTTTAATTGAACCCTGCTAGACCCTACATTAATAAGTAAACAGTAGCGTTAACAGGTGCTCAACAGGTGGAAACGTATGAAGGAATATATATATATACACGTATCCTCCAATTCTTCCAATATAAACTGATTGTGTTATGTTGGAAAGCTGACAAATATAACTTTTTGAATCAACTGGCCGGGGTATAATTAATGTGTTGTGGGGAAAATTGCATTTTAGTTGAGATAACACCACTCTCTAGTCTGATAATAGCGATCTTGTTTTTTGTCGGATTTCGTCAATATTGATGTAGTATTCAAGCATATCTTTATGAAAAATATTCAAATTAGCTAATGACGTCAAAATGGGAACATAATTGATAACAGCGATGTCTCAGCCTACGGCTGTATTTTTGTATTACCGCGGTGCTTGTGAATTGCGTAACATTTTAATGAGTTTTCTCCCCAGGTTTCACTAAAAAGAACAACAAGTCATGCAGTGCAAATTACGTGCACTTACGGTCACATAATTCTCGAAATCGCTGTTCCTCTTCAAAAGAGGAGACGCGAAAATCTTTCCTTATAAGGTCAAAATATTTCCCATGATGCAGTTCGCGGAGGAACAAATTTATACTTCCTTGTTTTCCCTCATATGTTTAACATGGGGATTTTCACACCTATTTTTCAAACGATATATTCGTTCATATTCCCGTACGAGGGTACAGAAAAAATATTATAAACGATTGACCTCTTATTAATCTTAATATAACAGCTATTTTTTCATTGTATTGATTCATAGCGTGGTGAAAACGATGATTGAAAAGTGAAAAAATATTCCGGAAGAGAAGGTCACATGATCAGTTGACTAGTCGCCATATTGGAAAAAACAATTCCATTCGACTTTTCAATACTCTCATGCAAATCTTACCGCACTACAGACTGCAACATCGATGCAACAACTGAATAAGAGTATTCATCTTCAAATTACATCATAGAGTTACGTTGAAAACCAACAAATCACTGAGCAGTAGACCAAAGAGGAAGCGTCGCTATTATCTAGGTCACTCTGTTCAGTGGTCCGAAAGCAAAGCTATGAATGAACCATAAAAACTAAAGCAAAGCTATAGTACTCGTTTCCGAATTTTGGTTGTTCATTGTACAATCTTTTATTGATTAAACTCGGTATACTGACTATTAAAGCAATGACAAAGAAGAATACTTCCGATGTTGTCATTGTTTTATTTAGCGTGCGGGTGTAAAAACAAAATTGCGTAATTAGTTTGATTTAGAACTTTCGGGTCACGCAAATAGCTACGCGAAATGCATAGTGAGAAAATATTGACCAATCAAATTTTGTCCTTTTTGAGTGCTTTTTCAGTACATATTTGCGAACGTTCTGATTCAAAGAGCGAATCGCGAAAGGGAGAATTATGGAATGGGCCATCAGCTTCACCCCAAAATTTAGGTTATCGGTATCAAATCAGGGGAATAATCGCCATAAAGATTTTTGTGAAGGTTAAGACCTCTAGAGTAAGATACTATGTGATAGCATTGCAACAGTTGTAGCTAAATGGGTGTTATCACCCATTTTTCAAAATGGCCGCCAGTGCACGTGTTACAATATAAGAGTGGGTATATCTAAGCACACTGAGATGCAAAAACTGTGGACCTATACTAGGGTTTTAGGGGTCAAGAATTTCACTGGAGACAATATCTAGGTTTTAGGGGTCAAGGGTTTCATTTGTGTCTAAATCTGAGTCATCAAATAATTGCTTTTCATAGAAATCCAAGATGGTCACCAAAATGGGTACCAATAACAAGTAAATGTTGATTTAAGCTCAAAGAACAGTTTATAACAGTAATTTGAGACCATGTCAAGATATTTGGTGTCAAGAATTTCAGTTATGTCTAAAACTATAACTAATTCCTTTATTTGGATCCAAGATTTTCAACATTGCTGCCGAAGTGAAAATAAGATTTATTATCTAAACTTTTAGAGGAGTTAGAACATCAATTTTTGATATTTTAAGTTTGCGAGGTCAATGATTTTAATTTTGTCTTAATAAAATCAACAAAAATTTTATTTATATAGATATCCAATATGGCCTCCAAAATGGCTGCCAAAATGAATTCATATATCTATCCATTTATTATAGATCACCAAGAACAATACTTTGGGAAGCAATATTTACTTTAAGGAGGTCAAGAATTTTGGTTATCTAGAGCTATGTCATGAAACAACACATTTGTGATTAATATCAGAATTCAAGATTGATGCCAAAGTGTAAATATTATAAAAGGTCAAATAAGAACAAACAATTACATGAACATTTGCGAAATAAAATCTTGGGCTCAGTATCATAAACACTGACTATGGAAAGAAGTAGACTGCACATAGGAAGCAGTAGATTATTGGATGGAGGAGATCAAGCACAAGAAATTCCTCGAAGACAAGTGTATAATACACCAGAAAGAGTTTGATGAAGATAAACATTTTAGTCAGTCCTCAAAATCGTGACTCTGCAGCCATTTTGGTGGTCATTTTGGATATCAAAATAAATGAATTATTTTATGACTTAATTAAAGACAAAATTGAAATTCTTGGTCTCTTAAACCTGGACATGGTCTCCAAAATCACTGTCCTTAACTGTTCTTTGAGCTTAGATCAATAGTTACATATTCATTTCAACACCCATTTTGGTGGCCATCTTGGGTTTCTATAAAAAGTAATTATTTGAATACTTAGATTTAGACATAAATGAAATCCTTGGCCCCTACAAAATAGACAGAGTCTCCAAAATTACTGTTCTTTTAGCTTAAATCAATAGTTACATATTCATTTTGGCATCCATTTTGGTGGCCATCTTGGATTTCTATAAAAAGTAATTGTTTGATGACTTAGATTTAGACATAAATGAAATCCTTGACCCTTAAAACCAAGACATGATAGTTACAATAATAATAGTTACATATTCATTTTGGCACCCATTTTAGCGACCATCTTGTATTTATATGAAGAGGTAATTATTTGATGACTCCAATTTAGACATAAATGAGATCCTTGACTCGAGAACTGTGACATGATCTCTAAAATCACTGTTCTTAACTGTTCTTTGAGCTTAAATCAATAGTTAAATATTCATTTTGGCACCCATTTTGATGGCCATCTTGGATTTCTATAAGAAGTAATTGCTTGATGACTTAGATTTAGACATAAGTCAAATCCTTGACCCTTTAAACCTAAACATTGTCTCCAAAATCACTGTTCTCAACTGTTCTCTGAGCTTAAATCAATCAGTTAAATATTCATTTTGGCACCCGTTTTGGTGGCCATCTTGGATTTCTATATCAAGTAATTGTTTGATGACTCAAATTTAGACATAAATGAAATCCTTGACCCCTAAAATGCAGACATGTGCTCCAAAATCACTGTTCTTAACTGGTTTTTTTTAGCTTAAATCAATAGTTGAATATTCATTTTAGCACCCATTTTGGTGGCCATCTTGGAATTTTTATTTAAAGTAATTGTTTGATGACTAAGATTTAGACATAAGTCAAATCCTTGACCCTTAAAACCTAAATATGGTCTCCAAAATTCTTTGAGCTTAAATCAATAGTTACATATTCGATTTGGCATCCAATTTGGTGGCCATCTTGGATTTCTATGAAAAGTAATTATTTGATGACTCAGATTTAGACATAAATCAAATCCTTGACCTCTAAAACGTAGATATGGGCTCCAAAATCACTGTTCTTAAGTGATTCTTGAGCATTAACAGTAGTTACATATCCGTTTTTTGCACCCATTATGGCAGCCATCTTGAATTTCTATAAGAAACAATTGTTTGATGACTTAGATTTAGACATAAATGAAATCCTTTACCCCCAAAACCTAGACATAGGTCCTAAAATCACAGCTTTTGCATCTCAGTGTGCTTAGATATACCCACTCTTATAGTTTAGTTTAGTTTATTTATTCAAGTGTCACATGCCTATTATTTTACATAATTATACGTTCTATTATTCAAAAGCCCCGAGCCAACAATGGCTTATGAGACACTGTCCATATCAGAAAAATTGCTTATGAAAAATTATTGATTTTGAATAAAAAATAATATTATAGACACACAATCAATAATTTTTCAATGATTGGTTTAAGAGAAAAACATTGTTGAATTCAGTTCTCCATATCGATACCACTCCTTTGGAATGAAAATATTCAGACTATCTATAGCCCACATATGTTAAAATTTGAGATTGAAAATATTTTTGTTTACATAGGGAGTGCCATTCAAAATGGCCGATTGGGTAAATTAATTTGCATATTTGTTGTTACTTCCCTTGCTTTATTTCTATTTGACAATAAGCTGTGTTACAGTTACTTTTTATAGCCTTCAATTATACCTTACTTAATTGAATTGTTATAATGCTTATTTTTTGGAAGTGAAGTTTCCTAAAATTGATAATTGTGTTCAGGAAATTTCATGTTTTTTCCCACAGGAGGGACATAATGATCAATAGACTGAATTCTCAGAAAATTCAGTCAATTGGATATAGACTAGGGCTCGCCCAAAGAGGGGCTCCCGGGTCTGCCTTCCATGATTTCATGCGACCGTACATATACGGGATATATCCAAGAGGTATTGCTCACCTTCAATGGTGGTAAACAAAATACAATACAATAAGAATCAGAAGAGCAGTATCGTTCATCAGGACATATTTCTGGATTTTCTCGGGTTTTGGTTAGTAATCTGTATAAATACTCACAGGTGTGAGTAGAAATAAAAACTAAACTGAAACTGAAACTTAAACTACTGTATCAATGCATAATTACATTCTATTTTCAGATGTTACGGTGAGCTAGAATAACAGCAGTTCCGATATTACTATTACAGCACCTACAAATCAGACATTTCGGACAATTAAAAATCAGTACTGTTATTGCAACAATACATATATATGAATAGTGACTAATCCATTGATTGACGCAATGTGACAATTTAACTCCATTATATGTGTAACCTTTTACATTTATACAGGGTGACCCTCAAATTTGGAATAAACTTTTGGTCCCTAACTAGAATGTTTGTGAAATATGTTTTTTATTTTATCACGTACTCTCCTAGTTATATTTAAGAAGTGGTATATGCACTTTTTCCTGAGCTTTAATGCATAATGAACTCACTGCCGAGAGTTAAAATAAGTATCCTCACAAATAACAGTCATTATCATAGAAAAAACACAATTAACAACATGTATGACATGTAAATACAAATGCCTTAAAGACCCATGAAGAATAGAAAAAAATTATAATTTTAGATATATTTGTAACAGTTTGGGATTTATTTTTAACGGTTTATTTATTTTAAATTGCATTGCTATAGTTCGTGCGTAACACATACGTACTGTAATTACCAGTTTGTTCGGAACTTATTGTTAACAGACTTACTGCAAAGCAACAAAAATTACAATATCCGAGGACGCCTATTAATATGATATGTCTGCCCCGATTTTCAGATTCACTTTAAGCATGCAAACGGAGATTCTGTTGATTTTGCCCAGCCTGGACGAAAAACTATATTCTAGGCCCTACTTACTTTTGAAAATACAACTTGCATATATGCCTTAAACACGTCCAAGTATGGGATAAACCTACACCTCTCTCGATCCACCAGATTGCATTGCTATAGTTCGTGCGTAACACATACGTACTGTAATTACCAGTTTGTTCGGAACTTATTGTTAACAGACTTACTGCAAAGCAACAAAAATTACAATATCCGAGGACGCCTATTAATATGATATGTCTGCCCCGATTTTCAGATTCACTTTAAGCATGCAAACGGAGATTCTGTTGATTTTGCCCAGCCTGGACGAAAAACTATATTCTAGGCCCTACTTACTATTGAAAATACAACTTGCATATATGCCTTAAACACGTCCAAGTATGGGATAAACCTACACCTCTCTCGATCCACCAGACTTTCCATAGCACCAGGCAAAACAAAATTCGAATGGGATATATTGACGGAGGTATAAAACGTACCATAAACCAATATTCAGTTTCCGGCCAAGAAATACGCTTTTTGTACCATATCCATACAATATCATATCCAATGTTGTCGATTGTGTCTTTTACCATTTTTAATATCACGTGAAAAACTTATACTTTGGAAAAACGCAGAAATCAAACATAAGTTAGGAGTTACGAGACAACTACACATCTCGGCGAACCTTCTATTGATTCCTCTTTCTAATGAGCCCGTTACAGAATAAAGATCAATCGGAATAACGAATGACTCCATCCCTTAAACGCAACTTCAATTAGCCAATTCAAATTAAAAGATACAAATACCCGAAAAAAGATTTTTATTCAAATTCAGCCTGGAAAAACGGATTTATTTAAATTCAGCCCGAATACCCCCAGTATTTTTACTTAAACCTGAACCCGGATAAATCCTGGAATCTTTTTTATGCAACCCGGATAACCCGGATTTTTTAAATCAGACTTGAATTTTGTGAGAAGTATTAATAGTGATACAGTTATTAATCTTTAACTCAGGTATCATGTGTAGCATGTGTAGTCTAAAGAGAATTATAGGACACCCTATGATTTTGAGGAATATCGTTTTTTTCTACGAGGTGATATTGATATCTGCACGAGAGAGCAAAGCGACCGAGTGCATATATCAATATCACCAAGTAGATTACTCACTCCATGAAATTTATGACTATGTTTTCATAATACTATAAAAATCCCATGCAAATCATTTGAGAGGTGAATCGTTTACTTTAACTCTTAATGATATACTCTCTATATACCTTAATGATATACTCTCTATATACATGTATGTACTTACCTTGGATTAAACAACGCAATTCCTGCTGCGCTGCTGACCAAATTTCTGATACACTATCTTGTTTTGGTGATTTATATAGTCCTAACAATTGCATCAAAGGAGACCACTTTGAATGAACTGCTGACCCAAGAATACCTAACATCGAAGGAACATCGCCAAAATCACAAAACCATGGCCGAGTCGTCTCAGTTCGCCTAGAATTTAATTTCGTCCTCCTAGCCAAGTTCATCGGATCGTTGAATTAGACAAACCGATTATTGAGAGGACTTAAAATTTTTTTTATTTATCAGTACAATAGAATTGTAATATTTCTCTTTTTACACAATCTACTAAGCAGCAACGTATCAATGATATTTCCGAAATCGAGTATCTTAAAGCCACCCCCTATAAAGTTTGACCCAGTTTTGCTTTATTGTAATCTTACTCAATATCAAAGTGTGATACGTGAAACTTTTTTTTTATTTCAAAAAGTGGTTTTTGAAGGACTTTTTGCTCGAAAAATGGTGAATTTATTTAAAACTAACTTTGAGAGGTCACACGTATCTTTTGATAAGCGATAACGCATAGTATCATCATCAGGAGTTTTTTGCAGAAAAAAAGAAGAAAATTGTTTCACAAATAAGGAAGAAATGAACCATCCAGGCATGAACCATCTAAACATGTGTACTTTAAGGTACATGTTATAAAGAAACATCATACTTATGTCCGATCATAAGTTCGAATAATAGTTGGCTTTCAAATATTTTGGCGATGTTCCTTTGGTCGGAGCTATACGTTGGTCAACTATTTATTCAACTTTGGGTCTCTTATTGATACAGTCGCTGAGGCCTCGCTGAGGAGTACATTAAATCATCAAAACGGGATACTGAATAAGAAACTGGGTCAGAATCATCAAATACGTTGTTCTACTATATGTAAGTACTGTACATGTATCGAGAGTATTTTATTAAGAAATAAATTATGTCTAACAACAAAACAATCAATTAGAAACAACAAATATGAATACAGGGTGGGCCAAAAAAAAGTTCACCCTTTTTCATTTTAATCTAATTTTCTTATTTTTGATGCAATGCCTCTAAAAATTGATATGTGCCCTTAAGAAAAAACCCATGGTCTCCATGATTTGTCATGGTAATAACCGGTTTTCCATGGTAAATACCGGTTTTTCATGGTAAATACCAGCCTTTCATGGTAAAAATCATGAACTTTTCCATGGCAATTACCGGTTTTTCATGATAAAAAAACATGGTATTTTCTATGGTATTTACCATGAAATACTGGTTTTCCTTGATATTTGAAAATGAATTATTCCAACCAAGTGTGTCAAGGGTAATGTGTAATATTGATGTATTGGTATTTAAAGTTGCAAACATATAACAAGTTTTCAATATTTTCTCAATATTTGAAGATCAATAAAATAAAGAACACAACACAGATGATAAATGACTTGAAAGAAATGAAGGTAAATATGTATTATTATTTAAAGAGGGAATCAGATAAAGGGAGCAGGCAAAACAAAAATTGTTTCAATTTCAATAAATCTTAGGTTCATTCTTTTGCAGCTTACATGTCAATTTTCTGAAGTGCATGCATGTACTTTATTTCAAGAAAAACTTTTCAAATTTTGCAATGACCGCAGTTTTAATAGCAGAGTTTAGCATAGCATTTTCAGGTAAATGAAGTTTAATAATCTTCATGGTATTTCCCATTGCGTTCGGGAAACACTTCGTTCGGTGGGATAATTATGCTTCAGGGTTTTTCAATTGAGTGTTTTTTCTGACCAAGCCACATTGCTTGTGTTTTCTCTATGGTCAGTTTAAGGCAAGTTGTTAGATAAAACCTATTTGCTTCATTTAAAATGTTTTTTAAGATATGGCAATTGTGTAAAATTGAATCATAAATACTATGAGATGTTGATGTTGGCATAAAAGAACATAATTATTATCAATCTCCATAATCAATGGTCTAAGAACTTATACAAATATGAAATTGAAAATTGGAGGAAGTTAAAACATCAAAGAATATTTAATCTTATTTACCTTAAATACTTATACACACTAAGTTAAGGTATGGCAATTGTGTAAAATTGAAATAATTTTTGAGATAACTTCACTTTATATGATTTTCTTTTTTCTTAAAAACAAAATTGCTACAAAACATTAAAACACAAAACCATGGAATTCTGATTACAATTTCCAAAATCATGGAACTTGATTGTGTTTTTCCAAAAATCATGGAACTTGATTACAAAATTCCAAAAATCATGGAGTTTGATTGCACTATTCTGAAAAATATTTGTTTAAGAAATGTAAACAGGCTCATGATTTCTGAAAACTACATGAGTGTACATTTTGGTGAGGATTCAAGGCTTTTCATATTTTTTTTATAAAATATTGTCTACTCCATGATCCATCCATATATGCAGTAAATTGTCTATAAATACTATGAAATGTTGATATTGGGATCAAATAACATGTTATCAATCTCCATAATCAATGGTCTAAGAACTTATACAAATATAAAATTGAAAACTGTAGGAAGTTAAAATATCAAAGAATAAAATACTCAAACAAACTAAGTCAAGATATGGCAATTGTGTAAAATTGAAATGATTTCGAGATAACTTCTCTTTATATGATTTTCTTTTTTCTTAAAACATAATTGCTACAAAACATTAAAGCACAAAACCATGAAATTCTGATTACAATTTCCAAAATCATGGAACTTGATTGCATTTTTCCCAAAATCATGGAACTTGATTACAAAATTCCAAAAATCATGGAGTTCGATTGCACTATTCTGAAAAATATTTGTTTAAGAAATGTAAACAGGCTCATGATTTCTGAAAACTGCATGGGTGTATATTTTGGTGAGGATACAAGGCTTTTCCTCATCTTTTTAAAAAATATTGTCTACTCCATCCATGTGTGCAGTAAATTGTCTATAAATACTATGAAATGTTGATGTTGGCATAAAATAACATGTTATTAATCTCCATAATCAATGGTCTAAGAACTTATACATATATAAAATTGAAAATTGTAGGAAGTGAAAATATCAAAGAATATTTAATCTAATTTACCAGTCAATGGTTTAAATACTTAAACAAACTAATATTTTGAATTGTTGATGTTATAATATCAAAGACAAAAAAATTACGACCTAAAACTTTTATTCT